GTGACAAGAAACACGATAATCCTGTTTTCGTCAATTTGGGAAATTGACTCGAGCCTGGCCGAAACCTGTTTATTACAAAGTAACAGGGTTGCCTCCGTTAGCGTTTACTTCGCAGTTGTGCTTGGCTGGGTTCAAGATTAATTTGCAGATACTAATCGCTTTTGCACATTTAGTCGCCACCAAAGAACACGGAACTCCTCTCGGAGAAGGATCTTCATCTGGTTCTTGCCGCCGCCTTGTCTGATCGTTTTGCCAATGACGAGTCGCTCGAAGCTGTCGCCTCGTGCTCGACCATAGCGACTGCTTGTCCTGGAGGTATAGGTGATGAGAAATCCCCAACTTCGGAGGGGCTGGATGATTCAGTGACCCTGGTGCCACCTGCTACGGAGCCGACGCAGTGCCAAGGAGGCGACAAGGCTTCCAAAACCGAACAAATTGCAGAGAAGAGGAAGAAAAAGGCGCGAAATTCATCGCCCGCAAATCCCGGTCTTTTTACTTCCGAAGAGGTCAATGCAAATGGCTCCTCACCGCCAATTGCTGCTGATAACGCGGCGCCTCAACAGGAACCACGAGATGTGGGTAAAAGTGCTGAAAGCACAATCAATGTGGATGACGAGAGCAGCGAGGACTCGGACAGCGATGAATCTTCTGCTTTTGCGGATTACAAAATGGTCTTCAATTTGGCCGATTATTTGCCAGGTTAGTTTCACTTGGCCTGCTTACACTGCTGCATGTTTCAACTAGGGCACTTACGAAATGCAGTGCTTCACTTCCATGCACTTGGTGATTGCGATTTTTGCGTTTTGCCTTTTTCGTTTCTGTAGAACGCGGTTACACCAAGGTTCCGCCAAACCAGTACGTCTTTAAGGGTGCTGAACTGCCATTTGAGTATGAAATGGCGGAAGACTTATTACGGAGCCAGGGAGCGATTTCTCTGCTTGAGGAATCAACTTCTCTGGCCTCAAGTCCCAGCACATCGTCCACGACCAGCTGCGATCAACCGTCGACCGGCGACGTCTTCATGCGGCATTTGCTGCGTCGGTGTGCGATGGATCAAGAACTCCAGCGGCACCGGGAGGCACGACGCAATGGAGAAGTCGGCGACCTTGAGGTCATCGACTGCGATCTGTCATCGTCGCCGTCGTCCTGCGGCGAAGCGAAGACAGCGGAGAAGCCGGCCACCACTAAGGCCAGCAGCGCACATCAGACGGAGGAGGAGGCAGATGCGCTCCAGCCAACAACCAGTACTCCCCCCTTGACAAAACGGCGAAGGTGCAGCAGTGAGGTCGCTGGTGACGAAGACGGCGATGCAGCCGCCACCGCCGCCGCCTCATCTACGGGGAAAACCGTCGATGTCTGAGTTGTGTATAGAATGGAGTTTGTACGGCCCCGCCCATCCCAACCTCGCAGGAACTCGCTCTTGCTCTCTATCTCTCTCGACGCGATTTATGGTTCTTCAGACACACTCACATGTTCTACGTATTCATTGTCAATACAATGTCCCCTACCTACTGCTTGGTCCGACGGTGATGATTAATTTAACCCAAAGATGCTGAAAGCGTGCTAATGTGTTTAAGGGAAACGTGGGCAAATCGAAGGACATGTTTCGACTTGTCGATTGCTTAAAATTTCTCAACAATCTCGTGAGTGGTTTTGCAGAATGTTAGCGAATCATTATACCATCAAGAGACGGCGCATGATGAGTTTTCTAAATGGTAGGAGGTTGTTGTAATCGCGTTTACGTGTGCTTCGAGTGGCTGTCGCTGGTGGATTTGAGGGTGGGTCAGTAGACTGATCCTAGTCACTGGGATACGCCTGTGTTCGAGGTATTGCCCAGGTAAGCTGTGGATGAGAGTAGGTAAGTGAGACGAGGCGCTCTTTTCCTGCGTTGAGCCCCGTTTTGGGTGTTGCGTATTCATTGGCCAGAGTTGCGCTCGACTGCCGTTTCACCTTTGCTCGTGCCTTTGAAGGCAGTTTTTCGCACAACTACGCAGTTTCATCGTTCCTGTCAATCCCGAAATGGCAATTCGCCTCAATAGGTCAATCCCTTGACTATACATGCGTGTCAAATAGTGAACAAACTGCCATTTAAATTGAAAGTATCTTGGTAACACAAGAGCAGTGTTTACCAAGCACAATATCGGC